TCGTGCTCAGTATGCCATTCCTCCCGCTAGCATCCACCAGGTACTTCAATGCGATGGATCCAGAACTGCCGTCTTTGCGGACCCATGTGGCAGACACAGGTCGTCCTGGATTCAATATTTCGTTACCTTCACTATCTGGTTTTGAGCTTACACTAATGTGTGATTCGAATTGAACTGTGTCGACCTTGGTTTCGTCAAAGATGTGAGCACCACAGGTCCCCGCGTGTCTAAAGAGCAAATCGTCGGACTCTGATCGGACTAAGTTCCACGCGTACGCATCAGGACCGCCTGCTTCTAGAAAGTCCGTATCTTGACAGGTATTAGCATATTCATGTGAATATGTATACAAGAGAGAGGTACATAGCAAACAAAAGTAGGAATGAACTTACAGGCATCAGGCTGAGCTTGTGCGAGTCGGAAAACTGCGCCGTTCTATATGTAGCGGTGTTGAAATGGCTTGTTAACTCACAATTCAAGAAAAGGCCGGTGAGGATGGGGTAGCAATTAATTACCTTGTGGTAAAATCCGTGAGCATTGAAAGTATCGTAAAAGTCTATGAATTTGAAGAAATGGCGTAGGGAGGGAAGAGTGCTCTCGCCAATATGATACCTATCACGCATGAGTTGGGCCAACAGACAGCAATCTAGGGTGATTTTGAGAATTCCAGAAAACCTATTGTGACCACTGACCTGGGGAATTTGTCCGCCTCCAGTAGGACTGTATCGATCCCCTCGCGAGCCAAAGCTGCTGCTGCATATGAACCGGCGGGACCTCCTCCGATAACCAGCACAGTGCAGCTTTGCGGCACGGTCATGACAGGCACAATCGAGTACACGAGTACACTGTGGTTTTGAGGTTACAGGATAGCTATCGAGATTAGGATTTGTTACTGAAACACAGAAAATCCGATATCAATGTTCGAAATAATTAGTGAAGCAGAATGTTGGAGCATTTATGCATTGGAATATTGATGAAGGCCTTTATAGGTTTTGAAGGGTACTTACGTGCCTGGCAAGAAACACCCAGAACCCCCTTTGAGGCAGGCACTTGAGGCCCAAGCACCCACACCTGTGCTTGGAGGCCGCGGAGCTTGCATATGAACTTCTGCAGGATATACAGTACTCATACGGAGTTAAGTGTCCCTCCCTATAAAGGCCTGCATGCGGATATGACCTTCAACCAGTGAGATCTGGTCCCCCCTCCGAACCTGGAGCTCCGTAGTATGCATGCCCCGCACATAAACCCCTCACTTCCAAGGAAATAGCCCGCACCACCTCATATGATCAGGATGAAAAAATTTTAATCAACCACCACCGGTGGCAGTTCTTGCCTGTATGTGGTCATATCGGAATTTGCTTTACACTTCGCGCTAAAGGTTGCCTTGTCTGAAGCCGCTGAAAGGCCTTCTTTCTGGATCGTCTTGCAGATCAGCCACTTTCGGCCCACTAATAGCTCTCAATCATCTCGATTCTTGAATCTCCTACATCGTGGTCAGCTATCTCGGTACTAGTTGCATCAGCAAGTTAGACCAGGATTATGAAGAATCCCGCAATCAGATAAAATGCCTCAAGCAATTGGATATAAATTATGATACCACCCTTACACCACGGACAAATGAAACATTAATATGTAAAGCTTGATAAAACATTAAAATGGCCAATTGCCGGGCCAGGTCAGATCAAAACAAATATCCGTAGTACTTCTCAGAATAGCACTTAGATATGATATATTTTACGTATCTAGCCGTGGTATAGACGAAAGGAAATAATTTATATATATGAAGACAGCATTTTCTTTTGACCCAAAAATCCATAGTTTTATTTAGAAACATAATGATATCAAAATACATCGCTATCTTAGTCTACTGGGGTTTGTCCATACAATCGATGGTGGGGCTTCAGTCTACTTCAAGTCTAAATATTCTGAGGGAGACGCTACTGCCACATCCATAAGGCAAGGCTTGCTTTTTAAAGCGTCATACTTATACCGCCCGCCATTCATGATCTCATGCGCCCAAGGCAGCAATACAACTTCCCAGACAGTAAGGATCCGTATGAAGCAGGCGGTGAGTACGGAAAGCAAGCCTTACCGTATAGGGAAGGACTTTACCTTGTAAGGTAGGCGGAGGGAATTGCACGAGTGAAGGCTGGTGGTAGCTAATTGACATTCTTCAAAATCATGATTAATTGTTGGTTGGAATCGGAGGATACATGGTACTTGGGACGCTGATAAGAGTGCGCCTCTTCGAGTCGAAAATCTTTACCATCTTTATTCCTTTACCCACAGAAACACCTGCTACTTCCTCCTCAAATAGCCTCTCAAAGTACAGCCTCAACCATTATTCTAATAAATACTCTATAAGTCACTTGTTGGCAAATATTTCCTTACCGCGCTCAAATTCCTATTTTATTTTTTTTCTTTTTTTTAACCCTTGATGCTTCTTACCTGAATTGGCTATATTTAGTACGAAGAGCAGATAGCTAGTGAGTGAAACCACCCACAGCTGTCGCCTCAGTTTTATCCGGAAAAACAATTGAAATCCAAGATGCACACATTTTACAGTCGGCACTCCCAACATATACAAAGATGTTGTCGACTCAAGTACTCTATTAACATGAAAGAATCACTTTGTTAATGCAGATTACTCAGAGACCACAGCTCAGGCGGCCCAAGGACGGGCCATCAGATACTCCAGTTTTTGGAGCGAGTTTAGCCGCAGGTCGTGAGGGTCCTGAAGCCGGCAGTTGCTGTTCTCATCATACAGCACAGTGTCTATCCCGGCAGCCCGCGCTGGTTCAATGTCGCGCTGTTCGCTATCCCCCACGTATACCATATCAGTTGGGACAATGCTGTGCTTTTCTAGGACCGCGGAAAACAGACCATCTACCTTGGACACTCCGACCTCATTGGTAGTGACCAGGATATCGATGAATGGCTGTAACCCAAGCTCCGACACCGTCCATTCTTGTGCATCTTGTGGTCCCTCGGTGACGATAACTATCTTCTTACCATGAGACTTGAGCTTCTGTAGGAGACGAAGTGCCCCAGCCTTCAGGGTCAGGGCGGCACGGAGACTGCTCTTGTATCCTGCCAACAGCTCTTCCACTTCTACCAGAGAAGGCGCATGCCCATGGGCTTCGAGAAGACGTCTAAATCTGTCGCTGCGATAATCCTCGGATGATTTTCCATCTGTGAACGCATTTGCAGTGTTTGAACGAAGGATGTCACGATAGGTGGTCTGGAGATCATCGATTGTGTTGTTGGCCTCGGGATGGTTGGCTCGAATTGCGGCGAAGACAGCATGGGAGGCATGAGCAGACGCTTTACGAAACTCGTGCAGAGTATCGTCGAGATCGAAGCCAAACCATGTCTTTCCGGAGAGAAGACTTGATATGGGATTTAGCTGGGGGCCATAGGCCTCCAGGTACAGGCCACCTAATTCGGCTTCGATATGTTCGATTTCAAGTGCGGATAGCAGTCCGTGGCCGTGGAAGTCCTCGACGTGGGTGTGAGACTTGACGCGATTGAAGAGGCGGTCAGGAACGGCACCCTGATAGATCGATTGCTCTCGGTAACCATTGAATAGATAATCCCCCAAAGGTTGCCTAAACTCCAAACAGCCATCATCGTATTCAATGCCCCAGTACTTTGCCAGTGTGGTTACTGTGTCCCTGGGATTGGCCACCAATTGCTCATACAGGACAACTTGAGGTGTTGGGCTGGCCGTGAGCATTTTGAAGAGTGACCGATAACAAATGAAGAAGCTGTATAGATCACCCCAGCCCATATTTTTCCAAGTATCAAACACTCGGACAGGATCCCGGACCAGAAACGCGGGCTGCGTTTTCTCGTAGGCGTCTCGATTGGGAAGTACGTTGAAGTCACATTCGCCCTTGAAGAATTCGTGACCCAACTCCTCTTTGGTGACTAGTGTGGTAAAGCCTTCCGACACCGCTTTTTGATAGACCGGGTGGGCTTCCGGATGAGAGATAATAGTATAGTCTGGCTTGATTCGAGCTAGAGTCTGGTCGCTGAATTTGTGATAGTTTCCTTGCAGAATCAAGCGACTCGTAACTGCACAGTGCGGGAGTTCGCGAAAGATTCGCATGAAGAGTGTGGAACCCGAACGAGGGCAGGCAACTAGGACCCTGATCTGAGTTTGCTTCTGGATTTGCGATTAGTATGCTCTCTGAAACAAACATACAGGATATACGTACTCCATGAGCGCCGCTCGTCACGTTGGCACTGGTTTCCATTCGCTTCCGAGAGGCTTCTGAATGAGGCATAATTTTATCCTGTTACTTCGTCACAATCGATGATGAAAAGATGGGTGGGCGCTGGATAGCAACAAATCAAGTGACACTCATCGTTCTTAAGTAGTTCGACAATTCCGTACTTGCCAGCTCAAGCTCCTGTCTATCGCTCAGCGGAAAGCAGGGGTCCAGCCGTCTGACTCGACTGATCGGCAATCCTCAGGAACATGACGAGATCGCTTATTCTAATGGCGTTATTTCCCATCCACGCTTCTCCTTTGTTGCTGGCATGGGATTTAGACCTGCAGCAGCAGATGCTTATGTTGGATAATACCCTCATGCAGGTTCTAGATCGGTGTCGCCGAAAAATGGCCCCCATATAAGCCATGCGACTCAAGTATCATATTTACAGCACAATTGGCTGGGATCGTGCCGCTCCGGCCGCGGGCCCTCCCGCGCACACGGGCGTAGTCTGTTGCAAACCCTGAAGGATGATTGCGCGATAGTCAGTCCATTGATCTGAAGAGTAAGGCGTTGGGGCACACGAGCAGTTACCTTTTCCGCGTCGAAGATCTGCGTAATCTCGTACTTGAGGCAAGGCTGAGATAGCCTGATGAGCATCATTGCCTCACTTGACCGGCAAGTATTGAGCGCCGAAGTCGGAACATGGTCAACACCTGGGGCCTGTGACTATTTACTGTAACCCCATCCTGCATACCTAATAATCCCTTTCTAGCAGTTGTCGCTATGGGAATTCAAAGCGTTTGCCAGGCTAGCGATGCCTCCTTCGGCCCCGTGGTAGCAACCCAATGCCGATCATTCGATTTTACCTTGCTTTTCGAGGATGTCTTTCTAGTTTATGTTCCTTGTTCCATCTTTCTTATCTTAGGCATCATCCGTGCGTTTCATTTGTACCGGAAACCGATTATAATTATCAGGGCGTATAGAGTTATCTACAATTCGGTTAGTCGCGCAATGGCGACCTTGGATATAGGCTCCCTTGCTAACAAGATGCAGACATTATATCTCACTCTATTTACACTCGAGGTTGCACTGCTCGTGTTCCGTCAACGAATAGCCGTTCTCAAGACCTCGGCAAGCTTGGCTGCCCAGTTATTGCGAATTTCTGGAACTTGTGTAGCACTGTATCTATCATACTTAGAGTATAATCGGACACAGCAGCCACCACTTCTAATCAACATCTATCTTTTTCTAGTAGTGCTATTTGATAGTGTTTCTATCCGTTTATTTTGGTTGGCATCTAACTCATCGACCATAATAGTCTTATGCAGTACTGTGCTAGCCGCTCACATTATTTTGCTTATCTCAGAATCTTTAATAAAGAATAACTCACTGGTAGCATCAAGACATTGACAGATAATCCTCGAGGAGACAAGTGGTCTTTTGGATTTGGGACTGTTAACATAAATTTTTCTGGTGTTGCAGAAAGGATTTACCTGTTCCTTAGACTTACCAGATGTCTCCAATATCACCTTAGAGTTAACAAGCTTGCGGCTAAAGAAGCAGTTGTAGAGATCTTAAAAAAGAGATATACTTATATACTGAGTCCTACATGGCTCCTGCACTTACTATAAATATCAAAGCTTATAATACTGTTTAGTAATTAATTAATCTAAAGAAAATCAATTACCAATCATACTTTTACAGATATATAAGATAGCCTTTTTCAGTACAGTTATCTCTTAACTTTGTATTTCAGCATTTACTATTATACAGCTCTTTTTGGTCAGTGAAATTACCATATATACAGTACTTCCAGAAAATCAAGAGACAAGAAACAAGGGGTATGGATTGATAACAGCTTCAGAGATTATATATATTAATCTTGCTATAAGTAGATAATAGATATAATTATTATTTCACATAATTTATATTCTAATTCTAACATGTCTTAGGTATCTATAGTATTCTATAATCAGCAGATATATCAGTATATTATTAGTATTCGTGGCAGTCTTCTTGCGGCAGTCTATACACAGACTTTCACCTGATAATCCGGCAATATAGGTACTGACACGGCTATTATACTAATTAGAACAGATATAAAGTATATTTTAACTAGCTTATATAATATACACGAGATATAAATATTTCTTATTAATATTGGACTGGCACTGTAACTATTAGAATACCAGCTTGCAGTATTATCTATCATGCCTGTCATTCTCTCCCTGTCACGGTGCTAGCTGTGGAGTACTGCCCGGACTGACTGCCCGGGCACATGACCTGAAGAGATACAAAACTTGCTAGTCTTCCAGACCCTGTTTATAGCTTTGAGCTATGTCTTGTCTATCTTCCTATATATAGCTTAATTATAATTAGTTAGCTAGTCTTCTGTCTATTTTTATTTTCTATTTAAGTTATCTTTTTATCACCTCTGCCAGCCTGTATCTTGATACTATATAACTCTTTTTTTTAGAATAAGTAATTAACTAGATACCTGTTATCCTGTAACTCCTGATTAGTTTTAATAGACTTGAAGAATTTGTATAATATATTATAAAGAATTCTGAAAAATAATATAATTACTATAATTAAATCTTAGTTTTTATAATAGAGATAGATAATAGCTGTTTCCAGCTCTAGCAGGATCTTGCTGTAAGAGATATTATAATAATTTATTAAATCTAGTAAACTGTAGATATTAACTGCCAGTTTATTAAAATACTTATTATTAAAAAGATTATTATCAAGAAAAGAAATTAGATATTAAAAGAATATACTAAGATTATCAAGCTGTTATATCTACAGTTAGTACTTTTAATTAAATATTTAAATTTATTACTGAGAATATAACAGCTGCTCTGGTAAAAGTAGTTTTATTAATTAATTCTAATTTTTCTGTCTCTGTTTCTCTCTCTGAGTATATTTCTGATTTTAATAAATTTAAAAATAACTGTACTGATCTTATCTAATTTATTTTCTAGATCTAAGAAAAAATATTTATTAATTATAACTGTTATCTGATTTTGTAAGTCTGTATATTTTATATTATAAATTATTTAGAAAAGATACTGTATAATCAGATTTAGTTTTATATTAAGAATAGAATCTGTACCCTGGCGGATTATATAGAGATCTTAAAATTTTTATAATATATTTTTAAAGATCCTGACTGTATCTGTAATACCTGACTAGAATTATATTATTTACAATTGAATAATTAGAAATTTAGTATTTATTTTATTAAATTTCAGTGCCTGGCCTGAGAAGCTAGAATATATCTGGATATATTATTTTTAATACTAGAAAAAAATATTAATTATAAACTGAAAGTTATGCTTCTAAATAATATCTTATCTGAAGAAAATTACTGTATTCTAGTCTATTTTCTCTAGTTTTTAGATAATAGAAGATTATAATATATTCTAGATTTCTGTAATAAGTTCTAGAAGCTATTTACTGGATTAATTAATTTTATTTTTTTTAAGAAAATTTTATAAAAATCTTTTATAAATCTTGTTAATAAGGAATTTTTTATTCTAGATTATGATTTTATAGATTTCTCTATTTTTTACTGTTTGTTATTCTGGTCCAGGTCTATTTAAAAAGAAAGAAGAAAGTATTTCTGCTATAATTCTAGTTAATATTTAATCTGAGATTATTCTGAGCCTGATATCTGTGTCCAGTATACTAGTTATTTTATATATTTAATTTTATTATTAAAAATATATTTATTATTTTATTATTATTCCTTGCCTGCAGCTCTGGTCTTAATTTATTTTCTAATTTTCTTGATATTCTAATTTATTAGAATATTATATCCAGAATGTCTATATTCTCCAGATCTAAATAAGTAGTTAAAAGAAATTTATCTAGTCTAAGCTGCTGTTAAACTATATTTCTAGTATAAATTTATACTTTATCTGAAACTGCTATTAGAGGACTTTTAATTAAAGAAAAATTTTAAAGAATTAATTTAATAATAACTTTTATTATGCTGAATCCTGAAGGGGAATAAATCTTTATTTATATTATATTTAATATTAGTTATACTATGTTCTGTATTATAAATAAAAGCTGGATTAAGATTTAATAGTTATTATTATATCTTCTGAAATATTCTAAATTTATTATAGGATTTAATAGCTGTGAGAATAAGGCTGGAATGATTATTTATTATATTTAAGTTATTCTGAAGATATATAATTATATTAAAAAGAATATTTTTTTCCTGGTTATCTAGCTAGTTTATTTCTTGATTATAATTAATTTACTCTGGCTGAAGCTCTATGATTTCTATATAAACTTTATTAATTATATTTTTTAATTTACTAGTCTCTATTATCAGAAGCTTTGTAATGTTTTAATCCAGCTAATTAAGATTTATGTTTTTTATGATGTTCTGGCCTGTATCTGACTAGTAAATATATATTTATCTAAATTTCTGAGAAATAAGGATATCCAGTCTGTCTTTTTAAATATGTATACTATATATATCTATTAAAATTATTTTATTTATATAATTACTGTGGTCTAGTTTAATACAGTACTCTATACTATTCCTGATTAGGAAAAGCTTGAATTACCTGAGAAATTCCAGGAATTTACTGATATATTTTTATTCTAGAAGATAAAAAAGCTTCTGTTCTATTATATCTATAATTATATTATTATTTTAAAGAAAAAGACCCTGCTATTCAGATCTTTATATAAAATATTCTAAAAAGAACTGACAGTCCTCCATGAGTGGTTAGTTAAGAATTTATAGAAAAAATTTATCTGCTCTAACTTTTTTCTAATAATTTTTCTAATTTTATTTATTAAGAAGCTAGACAGAGATCTGAGATTCTATATAGATTATTATATTTTAAATATTATTTTAATTAAGAACTACTACCCGCTGCTGCTGGTCAAGGAGATCCTGAATAATTTAAAAAAAATATAGTATTTTACTAAGATTAATATTATCAGTATTTTTAATAATATCTAGATTATTAGGGGCTAGAAATACCTGATAATATTCTATATAAGACTTAGTCTTTATAAATTATTAATTATACTGTTTAACTTATCAGGAGCCCCTGTTATCTTCTAGTATTATATTAATAATATTTTATAAGATTACTTACATATATTTTATATAATTTATTTAGATAATATTCTTATGTACAGCTAAACTAGAAATAAATATCTAGATTATATTAGAAAAATTCTCTAGAAATTCTGTGCAGCCGGCCTGTTTACTAAATTATTTAAATATAAGTTTATTATTTTTAAAATCAAGTTTCTGGGTCTTATTATAGGCCGTGACAGATTCTATATAGATTCTGAAAACATTAAGACTGTTATTAACTAACTTATTTTAATTTATATTACTAATATATAAGTTTTTTTAAATTTCAGTAATTTTTACTATTATTTTATCTAAGATTTCTCCAAGTTGACTGCCTTGCTTGTATATTTTATTAAAAAAAATATTTTCTTTTAATAGAATATAATCTGCCAGAATATCTTTAATTATTTATAAAAGATTTTTATAAATGTCCCTGTGCTTCAGCTCTTTAATTAAATTTATAAGATAATATTTAAAATTAATATTTCTGATTATATCTCTGCCAGAGTCTTATTTTAATAGAATAATAATAATCTGCTGTACTTTATTATCTTCTTCTTTAAAAAGAAAATTCTAATAAAGTATAATTATAAGATTTATAATAAAGAACTTCTTGTGATTATCTGCTGCTTTAAAAAGTAGTATTTAAAATTTAAAAATATTCTGTTTTTAATCTAAGTTATTACAGACTATTATAATCTGGAATATTTTATATTTATTAAGTTTCTGAACTGCTGCTAGGCCTGATAATCAGAATTTTTATTCTATTTTAATTTCTGTATTATTTATTATTCTAAATATTATAGAATTAAGCTTAACAGCCTGACCAGAAGGTTAGAGGATCTTTTTAAAAAGAAAGATAAATAATTATTATATTAGAGCTAGATTATATTTAAATAAGAGAATCTAGACTCTGTTTATTTTATAAAGAAAGACTCTGATCTATTATTTATATATAAAGATTTTATAAAGATTTTTACAGATCTCTCCTGGACTTTATCTATTTTATTAATAATAAATCTGAATATTTACAGGAACTTGATTTATTAGCTATCTGAGAAAGTCTTATAGAAGACTTTTATAAACTTATTTTAGTCCCAGTAATCTAATAATTAATCTGGGTTGCTTTTAAAGATAAATAAGATTTATAATTATTTTCTAAAATCCAGACCACCCTGCGAGATGTATATAAGAAGAATAAATAAATATTAAATATTCTAAAAATATTAGTAATAGATAAGGACTGATATTCAGGTATTTTCTTAACTTTTTATAAAAAAAAAGAAAACTTATTATATTATAAAAATTATTTATAAATTTCTGATTATACTGATCTGAAAGCTGATCTGACTTGTTTAATTTATAATAAATTTTTTTAGAGTATTCTGGAAGATTCTATATCTATAAATTCTTAGCCTGAGAATACTACTAGTTAAACCAGTACTATTATATAGAGCAGTAAATAAGAAACTATTATATTTATTAAAAAATAATTTTCTTATGAAAGGTTAAGCAGGGTATTCTAAAATTCTTACTAATCTTAGAATATATTTAATAAGATATATTTATGGATTTTATTATCTATTTACTAGAGAATAAAGACTATGATGTAGTACTAGTAATTATTAATTATTTAATTAAAATAAAATATCTAATTCTTTATAATATTATAGTTAATACTGCTGCTGTGGCTCTTATATATATCTAGTATATATAAAAACTATATAAATTATTCTATTCTATTATCTCTGATAGAGACTTTTAATTTATTACTGATTTCTAGAAATATCTAATCCAGTGTTTAGATATTAGAAGTAAGTTATTAATAATTTATTATCTGGAAACTGACGGGCAGATAAAGTAGGTAAATATTATACTTAAATAATATTTCTATATTTATATAAATTACCTGCAGGATAACTAGTCCAGCTAGTTATTTCTAGCTAAATTTATTCTGAATATTACTTATTCTAATATAATTAAGATTATTTTATTTTTTATTAACTATGGCTTTTATTTTTATATAAGATTTAAATCTGTACCTGTACTAAACTGACCTGCTGTTAAAAATAGAGAATAATTTATTATTAAAATATAAATAATTATTAAATTTATATAAGTTAAGATGACTGCAGCCTAAGCCAGGTATATAAAATAAATAAATAAAAGATATTATCTTAGTCTAAGATTTTAGAAGAATTAAGAGATCTGGCTAGATACCTGATTTATCAGGATTTTATAATTTAATAAAAAATTTAACTGGAATATTCTAGGCCTATATTTAATTAAGTAGATTATTAGTTTATATATCTATTATCTGATATTTTTATCCAGTATAAAGATTTATTTAGTATTTTATATAAGTCTGTTTATTTTTATTAATAATAATTTATTATTAGACCAGTACCAGTCTTCCCCTTTCTATATTAAAGTTAATAGTCTTAAAGAATAGAAAGTTGAGAATATACTAGATTTCTTCTAGGACTACCGTAGACGAGGCTGATCTTAGCTAGTTTATTTTATTAAATAAAAAAAAATATACTGATTTTACTACAGAATCTGCTGAATATCTAGAAAATACTTACTAAATTATTAAGAATTTTTACTATTATTATCTAGATAAGTCTAGACTTTTTCCTCACAGGAGCTCGGCTTAAGAAAGAGAGAAATATTATCATAGTATTAGCTATAAAGTACTGCTTGAACTGACTGCCCGGGTATATAATTTAAAAAAATATAAAACTTACCAGTCTTCCAGACTCTGTTTATAGCTTTGAGTTATATCTTGTCTATCTCTCTGTATATAATCTGATTATAGTTAGCTAGTCAGTCTCCCGCCTGTTCCTGTTTCCTGTTCAAGCTACCTTCCTACCACCCCTGCCAGCCCGCACCTTGACACTCCCTGGGTATATATTTCTAATATAGTACCTTATTAGCTTTGTTTCTGATGTATACCAGGATGTATATCAATAATAACTAAAGTCTTAAAGTCTAAGAATGGGGCCCAGCATGCATGGGTTATAAAGATCAAGCTCAGAATGCATGCTACCAGATAAGTCTTAAGCAGTATAAAATTATTCAAAGTACTTGGTCTTTGTAAATAAATCAAGGCAGTTATTACTAGATTTTATTTAATCAAGATTGCTACTTCGCGTAAATTTCACATATTAATATTTTAGAAAGTTCTTATCTATAAGTATTCTTCCACTGCTGCAGATAATAATTCATCTCTTATTATCAGCTTCTTAATAATCTTTGTATATTTAATTTAATTATAATAGTACTCTGCTGATATATCCTCCACAGCCAGCTTTCTATAGCTTGCTACTCCGGCAGTCTTATTCATATTATTCATGATAATTTTATTTACAACAAAGATTTATTCTTTAAATTCCTCTCAGGTATTCATAGCATTATTCTTAATAATACTCATTACAATGCCAGTCTGGATCTTTATATAAATATTACCAGCTATTATTCAGTGTCTCAGCTCTTTCAGTCGAATTCAGGACTATATCACCTTATATAATATATTAAAAACCCTACTGGACAGTGATAATAGCAGTTTTTTAGATCTAAATAAAGAAACCATTATAGAATGCAGAGATACTTTTATAAGAAAAGACCCTGCGGAATGTGATGTGCTCTGCTGTATAAACTTGAGCATATTAAAAGGCTTCTTTGCTGTGATCATGAGTCCAATAGGCTCCGGAAAGATAATACTACTGGAGACTGTGCTAGATGAGACCACCGTAAATAGTGGCCATGTATTAATAGCCTCTATGCCCATTGCATACTGCGCCCAGACCCCCTGGCTGGTGGATACCAGTATCCGGGGTAACATCGCTGGCCCGCTCGACTTTCAACCGGACTGGTACCGTCACGTACTCTGGCTGTGCTGTTTGACCGAGGAGTTTCAAGCTCTGCCAGAACGAGACTTTACCAGAATCGGAGGACAGGGTTTCATGCTCAGTGGAGGGCAGAAACAACGCCTGGTAAGATGCTGCTGTATGTTGATTCAGGTGTTCTCTTCCACTAACAGCAATATATTGTTCTAGGCCCTTGCCCGTGCCCTTTATTCCGGCTGTAAGATGGTAGTCTTTGACGATATCTTCAGCGGGCTTGATGGAGCCAATATAAATAGTATTTGTGAAAGGCTACTGGACAGGCATACAGGTTACCTGCGTTCCAGAGGCATTACTGTTATCCTATCGACACATAATGGTTTGTTCCTGTACTCAACGGCCTTTCATCTGCTAACTAGGCTGACTCTCCTATATAGCCAAAGTAGCAGCCTTTGCCGATGAGATTCATTTTCTGAATGAGGGTACAGTCGTGACATACAAGCCGTCTCCCCCTTCGACACCCTCTTCTGGTCATCAAATTTCGTTTCCTGAAGGCCACGACTACGAACAATTGGCCTCGCCAGAACAGCAGCCTTCTCAATCTTTCGACGCTGACATCTCCTCCAATGACGACATACTGGATACAAAACAGGGGGTCTCGCAGCCGGTCAAAGATCGCTCTGTTTATCTATATTACCTAAAGTCCACAGGGTTGGGGCTTTCAGTTCTTTACATAGTACTTGTCCTTGTCTTTGCGTTCTGCCAAAATTTCCCAAGTGAGATCAGTCCCTAACTCCCAAAATGACGTAGCACCTGAACCAAAGCTGATTGAGTGGTCCCAGCACTTTGGCTCAAGTGGTGGTCAGAGGCCAGTACTGAAAGCCCAAACAGGCCACATTGGATGTACTTGAGCGTTTATATTGCCCTTGGGCTAGGTGCTGTAATTATTGGCGCTGCCAGCTCATGGTATACCCCCAGCCCATGCATATGCTACGTATTACACGACAATAACCGGCTACAGGATTTACCTTCTTCGCATGATATCCAACACTGCAGAACGTCTACATCTATCCATGCTAAGCGCTCTTTTGCGGTACGGCACACCTCTGTGATTCCTACGCCCTTCGCTGATGAATGGTTAGTGCACCGCTCATCTGGCTTAGCGAGGCTAATTCAGGCGACATTCTGAATCGGTAAGTCTCGCTGAGAAGCCCCCAAGAGTCGCAGCTACTGATCAAACGCTTGCACTTCTAGTTTCAACCGGGACTTGGAACTTACCGACATGACCTTACCGCTTGCCGCCATTAACACAACAAAAGGTATGTTGGTGTGCTTATAATGATTTATCTTTCGAAGTATCTGAAACCGCTCATATGTTAACACTACAAGTGCCGAAGCGCTGGGGGCTTGTTTGCTGAAGATGATCATACTGTTCGTCGTAGCGAAGTACATGTCCCTCACAGTTCCACCTCTTCTGATAGTATGCTACTTTCTTCAACGGTACTACCTCCGGACATCTCGACAAATACGCCTTCTCAGCATCGAGACCAAAGCTCCATTGTATCAACATCTTTCTGAGACATTGAGCGGTGTATCTACCATCCGTGCAATTCGCCGACAACGATGGTTTGAGAGTAACAACCTCTTGCTTGTGGATAATTCACAGAAATGTGTCTATACCCTATTCATGATCCAACAGTGGTTGACCCTCGCTATGGATCTGTTGGCGAGTGGACTGGTGGTTCTTCTCATGATCCTCATCGTCTTTACCAGGGATTCGTTCGATTCGGGCTCATCTGGAACAGCAATTGTGACCCTCATGAGCTTTACCCAGTCTTTAGCACGCTTGCTAAAATTCTGGTCGCTGACTGAATCATGCCTTGGGGCGGTCTCCCGGATTAAAAGCTTCGGGGAGACCGTGCCGTCGGAAGAGCAGAGTAAACGTTTCGATGCTAACTCATTGTTGTCCCTAAATGAAAAGGTATCATGGCCTAGTCATGGTGAAATCGAATTCGATAAGGTTGTCGCAGCTTACAGGTATGTAATCACTTATCCTGCATTCACGCATATCGCTCGATCCGATGTGTGGCCTGCCGATAGCCCGCAAGCATGGATGCCTGACCCGTAGATAACAGATCTCATCCCGTTCTGAAATCAGTCTCAATGCGCATCAAGCCAGGGGATAAAGTCGCCATCTGCGGACGCTCGGGAAGTGGCAAGTCATCCCTTGTGTTCTGTCTTGGTGGATTGCTTCCCATACAAAGCGGCGCCGTTCGAATTGACGGGGTCGACATCATCAATGTCTCTTCACAGGATATCCTCAAGCATCTGAGCGTCGTGCCCCAAGATCCGTGCTTTCTGCCCGGAACCATCCGGCTAAATATCGATCCTGATGAGACACTGTCGGAATCCGCCCTGTAAGGCGTCCTCGAAGCCACCCATTTTTCTGCTATTGTTCAGAAGATGGGCGGACTGGACGCTGATCTAAAGCCGGAGTTATGGTCGGCCGGGCAAGGGCAGTTGCTGGCACTTGCGCGCAGTATGGCGAGGAAGAGCGTGGTTCTAATTCTTGATGAAGCCATGAGTCGGTGTGTTGGCCATATTCCTCCCCAATATTGGATTTTTTTTTCTAGGGGCTTTCTCAAAGAAATGCTTACGCAAATTGATTATTGTCTCTAGAGTCGATCTTTCTACCCAATCGCTCATGGAACGCATCGTTGCTAGCCATTTCAATCATTGCACCGTTCTTTCAATCGTGCACCGATACGAGAACATATCCGCCTTCGATAAGGTTGCGTTTTTCGAAGATGGGGAACTTATGGAATTTGACAGGCCTGAATCATTGCTATGGAAAGAGACCAGATTCCGGGCTCTGTACACTTCGAGCCACACTTGAGAGATTGAAAATTCGCTGATGTGCTCAATGAATTTGGATGTCGTGGCGGTCAAAGGCCCCTTCCAGCCGATCGATCAATATTCCTTCCCTTATTTCTGCGAGTGTTACATAAACCAGCCATAGATAAGTGCATAGTAAAATGGGGAGTTCTACATTCTCAGTAAGCTTCAAAGTCTTTCAATGCATTATTTTGTGGCGGGGACATATTAGAATGCGGAGTAGGAGTACTAGTTCTTCAATGAAGCTCTGACTTTCTTCCTCATACTAGACCTTTCAAGTTATTCAGTTGCTGAAAGTCACACGGTATAGGATGCAGTAATATTCTCGGGGATGCGGTAAATGCAATACCAGTTGACGATCACTTTCCTTGGTATGCCGCCTCATCTTAGGGCGGATGAGGTGATTGGGTTAGCTGATTCCTGTGTGGCACTACTTAAGTTCAGAGTCACGGCCGCCTCCAAGTGTTCTTTGGATAAGTAGTGTTAAACCATGTTGTTACCTATTATCATGCGCTTTCCATGGCTATGCCTGAATTACATACTGTTTAGCCATGTGGCCATCGCCAATAATAGGTATAAATCAAGACCAGATCTCTCCCCACCCCGTCTCAATATCACCATTCCTCCAAACAACGGGCTAGAACGAGGATACATTTTCATCGCCCCGTTCAATGCCGTTTCCGAGCCGGCACATCGAGCACCACAGCAGCCTGGTGCGTATATATTCAGTGACGATGGTGAGCTCGTCTGGTCCGGGTACACCTACTTCTCGACCTGGACAGGGAACTTTCAAGCCGCGCGGTGGAATGGTCAGGATGTTCTAGCCGCATTCGAAGGTGCGCACAATGGACTCTATGGCCATGGTCATGGTCACCATGTGCTCCTGAATCAACGATATGAGACGATCAAAGAACTCCGCGCGGGTAACCATCTGCTCTCCGATAAACATGAGTTCGAGATCTTGAACGAATCGACGGCTTTGATCCAGGTCCATCACCCGGAGGTGCGAGATCTGAGCAATTACACATCCGACCGGCGGCAACATTGGATTGTTAACGCAATATTTCAAGGTTAGCTCTATCTCAGGATAGTTCGTAATGTCTTATGGAACACGATAAGGCTTATCAGGTCACACAGAATTGAATATCAATGACGGCAAAGTGTTGTTCGAATGGAGAAGTCTGGATCATATTGGCCCGGAGGGTACGTTGGCCCCCACCTCTTTGGCTTATCACAGTGGAATGCTCTACATCAGGGAGGGAAAGATTTGTGTAGATATTAACGCCTATGCGTATCCCAGAATCTGCTCTCCCGCTTCCCAACAATCAAGCGGGGATTGGCCACAATAGCTCTACTTCCTGGGACTATTTTCATATCAATTCGGTGACCAAGGGCATCGACGGCCACTACCTTGTGTCCGCGCGTCATGCCAGCACCATTTACAAGATTAACAGCACAGATGGCAGCGTCATCTGGCGACTAGGAGGGTCGCGATCCGATTTCGCCCTGGGCCCTAACGTAGAATTTGGCTTCCAGCATCATGCCCGATACCTTGATCAGGTCGACAATAGCGACGTGACAAGGATAACGCTATTTGACAACGCCGTATATGGCTCTGAAAGTGGCGGTGGCGGTGACAAGGAGGTCCGGATTTATCCCTACTCCCGCGGCAAAATCCTCAGACTGGATCATCCGACTCGCTATGCTTCCCTCGAGTCCTCGTTTATTCCTCCTGATCTACTGCTGGTGAGATCACAAGGCTCATTGCAAACCCTTCCCAGTGGGAATGTTTTCATAAACTGGGGCTCAGAGGGAGCGATAACCGAATTTTCTTCCGATGGAGAACCACTCTACCACGCATATCTGGACTCCCGACCGCTCAGTCGCGGCGACGTGCAGAACTACCGGGCCTTTCGGGCAAACTGGACAGGCCTTTCCAGTGAAGAGCCCGCTGTGGTAGCCTTTCAGCGACATGAGACCCATTGGGGCAGCGGTGGAACCGATATATACTTATCATGGAATGGGGATACCGAGACGGTCAATTGGCGGCTCCAATTGCAAGTGGACACCAGTGACAGCTTACCGGATGGATGGAACGAGGATGTTCGGAACGGAGAACTCGAGACAAATGTGGCACGGCGGGGATTTGAGACAGTCCATAATGTACCCTTTGCACTGCGTAGTATTCGCGCAGAAGCTATTGCTGCAGATGGAACAGTTCTTGCCTCGTCTAGGCGAGTGCAAGTACAGGCATGGGAGGTCTATCAATACCTGCTCGAGGAGGACAACGTTGAAGTTGCTGATCTGAAAGTATCATCACCTGGGTCGCGCCTGCGCCCGTTGCTGTTCCAGAAAGCCGATCAGTTGTGACACGCTATATGATCGTCAATACAACATCATCCTAGTGCACACATAATTAACGGATAATTTTGGGGCTTAATGACAAGTTGTAGTAGCATAGGCAGGCTTTTCGTCACCCCCAGGCAAATATAGGGAGACGCTCCCTTCCGCTAATGCCACAACACCCTGCCGCTTACCTCAGTGGGCAAGGCTCACTCCCGATAAGGTAAGGCGAGCTTTTGGTACAGATATAAATCTTGCCGCCTTCCGGATCAAGAAGCTTCTTCGCCTGAGTTATAAGGTTTCTGTCTCACTGGAAGCTGGATCAAAGTAGCAGGCGGTGAGGCTGTGAGCACGCCTGACCTTCCAAGTGTAGGCGGGGTGTGGTATTAGACGCACGCTAGCCCCTGCCCAAATGTCAATGTCCTGCTGTTTACTGCCAGCAAAGTATCGAACAATACAGACGTTCTTACAACTTCTAAAGTTGCTGATGAAACTCTCTTCGTATTGAAACTGTTGTCCATCAATATACGATCCTAATCTCAGGCTCATCACCGGGGGTAGTGATACTAGTACATGGAGGTAGAGATCACGCACATCACAGATATATATTTGTGCGACTCAAGAGACTACAACTAGGACCATGAAATGTTTAAAAACCGAATTGGAAGATGATAGCCGAGTACTATAGTCAACGGTCCTTAGCGTAATATAGCAAAGTCCATATTCCGCTGAAAGTATTACGCAGTCAGCTTATATGGGGAGATGATATTGATGATATCGTTGAGCACGACCCTATTAGGTGTAGGTTATATCTAAGGCGGAGAAGAGCGGCAGTATCCCCCACCACCCGCTCGCTGTGGACCAAAAGTTGTTTGTAAAGGAATATGACTAGCTTGAGGGTTACTACATCAGCTCCATAGTCATAGAGTTAAGAGCCAAGTCAAATAGTAAGTAATGTGGAGCTAGCTATGTATCACTTATTGTCAAAAACATGATGTCTGGTTTACTCGTTAATGCCTCAGGCAGGAGTACACACAAGAAGATTGTTCAATGCCCCATACTATTCACATTGTGGGTTTGTCAGAGAAAATCATCATTGAACACCTTCAGGGTTGTCTCATACACCAGAGAATCTTGTATACTGTGGCCGCCCCCTTTTTTGATTATATGGCTGGCAATGGTCCTAGATTATGACTCATTGTGTAAGCATTCCAGACACGCCTCCAGACACAGGTAGCTGTTGCAGTGATAATTTGTGCTCTAAACTGGTTCTCTCGCGTTTAGTTGTCGAGCAACTAAGGTACAGGCAATGGGATGGTAGTCATGGACGAAAACAAATGGTACGACATTCGACGGAACGGGAAGCAAAGCAGGGGAGACTACAAAAAAGAAGGGAAGGCAAGGAAGGCAAAGAAATTTTTGGTTTCATCAACAGTAGTACGAGGATGACCAACAGTCTATAGAAGGTATCTAATGTTGCAGATCATGATTTGGAAATACTAATGCTGACAATCCAGTCATATACATCATCAGGTTACCCAAATTGTTTTCATGGCAGCTACTGCTATAGGGACCCGCGGGACTACGTTACTAACCAATCAAACTGGCGGATGCCCTGGCGGTCTGGGCAAAAGCTATGTACGTGGTAGACTAATGGATTGTACTTGAAAAAATCAAGCCGTTCAATCCTGCAAGTGAGCAGAACGGTTCAATAAGTATGTTGGTAACCTGAACGGTTCATTGAACATTCCAGGAAACCGGATTACCGAACTGCAACCCACTCAAATGGGTAGGAGAGATAACACGGCGTTCTGCATCCCGCGCTCCTTACCCGTGCGTTAGAATTCATGTATTTTATTTGGTTGCCTGTTTCCGACATGTATCCGATCAAATGAGGCATGATGAACATGCACTACACTGTTTGGGAATATGGCCGGAGTGACATAAACAACATATAAGCCATGTCCAACGACCCTCGTCGCATCTTAGTCAATTCCTACAGGCGCGCCCATTCGACCCAAGTATTGACATTCGGCTGCTACTATCAAAGGTCAGAAAGCTTACTGACAGGACTGATCTTCTGGGTTCCCATTATGCATTCCATGCGACCAAAGATACCTCAAAAGTCGGAGCAGCAGGTCCAAGTGTCCTACCACCAAGAGGCTACTACTCTTTTACAATATTTGGGGAAAGACCAGCATCCTGATTATGGAATTGGTGCAGTGTCAGGTAGCATCTACGATACCGCTTGGGTGTCAATGGTAAAGAAACCGGTGACAGGTCGTGAGACGGCTTGGGCTTTCATTGAATGTTTCAAGTTTCTATCAGAAGCCCAGTGTGAGGATGGCGGATGGGATGCAGATGCGGTACTTTTTGACCGTATTGCCTGTACACTTGCTGGTCTCCTGGCGCTCAAAAAACACCTGAACGAAGAGAAGGATCACACGAGTCGTCAAACATTGGACAAGAAAATATCTAGGGCTACACATTTTCTGCGTCAAGCTCTTCCTAAATTACCAGCTGCAGTCGCATATGAGCTTCCGATCGGCGCTGAACTGTGGCTACCAAAAATGTTGGAGCTTATTGAGGAAGAAGGCATCCATCTCGACAATGCAGCCGTGCTCGCTTGGATTTTGCCAGCTCGGGACAAGAGGATTTCCCGATTCCCGATAGAAAGTCTTTATGAAAAGGGATTTACTTCCGTTGCACACTCCCTGGAGGGGCTTATTGGGTACGCAGACTTTAACCGGGTCTCTATGCTCAAAACATGTGGCAGCATGATGGGCTCTCCGTCAGCAACGGCCGCGTATCTCATTCACAGCGAGAATTGGGATGCAGATGCAGAGGCATATATCCGCCGTGCGCTCAATTCTCCGCATGCGGGTCAAAATGGCGGCGTGCCTTCAACATATCCGACGACTGCGTTTGAATCCTCATGGGTTCGTAAATCCCTTCCTCTCTCATCTCTCTGTTCCCAGTCATCTTCCACATTCCTTTCTTCTTCAGCTATCCCTGCATGATGAACTACTGGCTTGTCGAATACTGATGTCGATTTCCGCACGAGCAGATAGTCGTCACTCTTTTGAAAAACAAGGTCCCTCTTGGCAAGGAAACAGAGCCATTGGTGAATAATATTGGACTCAAAGTAAATAACATGTTAAAAGCACAGGATGAGGTAGTCGGATTTGGTGAGTAATGTCTATGTTCAAGGGGTAGATTGACGACAGACAATAGAATGACGCTGACTGGGAACTCTTCTATCACCGGGAATGTGCGTGGACGCCGATGACACCGCGAAAGCATTATTGCTCCTGAGACTGTTGGGATTCCCAGCATGTCCAGATTCTCTGATCAGCAAATTCGACTCACACGATCATTTTCTGACCTTTGGAATCGAGCGAAACCCAAGCGTCAGCACTAACGCTCATGTCCTAATGGCCCTCCTTCACATGGAAAATAATAGCAGATACATTTTCCAGATAGAAAAGTGTGTTCGGTTCTTGTGTCATGCGTGGTGGGAGTCGGATGGCTTTCTTCAAGATAAATGGGTAAGAAATTGGCTTTACCACCAGATGTTGGGCTCGAGAGAACAGATGTTAACACTGTTCATAGAACATATCTCCCTACTATCCCGTTATGTTAACATGTGAAGGAATAGTGGACTATATACACAAATGGGACAGCGACGCTTTTGCTACATCCAGCAGCACTGGCCTTGATGCCCGAGTTCCTCTGGTTGTTCACCAAGCGTTGACTAAGCTCCTCCGAACCCAGAATGCTGACGGATCCTGGGGACCGCGATCCAGCCTTGAAGAGACGTCGTATGCAACATTGGCCATAAAGAGACTCCTGACACTACCTTTCAGAGGTGAGCTGCGAGATGCATCCTTAACTGCCATTGAACAAGCAGAGTCGTACCTACGATACACATACAGTCGTGGTTACATTTCAATCAGAGAACGGCTCTGGATTGACAAAACCCTTTATAGCATTGAAACAGTTTCAAGGTCTTATATCATCTCCGCGACGCTAGCGCCGACGCCCAATATCCAAGCCAGTGAGACATTGGGCGGTCTGTTCAACACCCCAAGATCTGTCATCCAGAAGCAAGGAAACTTTCTGCGGACCCTCCCGTCATTTTCCCACATCCCGAGTTGGGTACTCGAGGCTTCCGTACGCGAGGGCTACATGATAATCGATGAGCTACGCGAAATTGACTTCTTTTCACAACGGGCCAAACCCAGCGAAGAATACCTCCTCTATTGTGCGTCTTGTTTCGTGGCGAGCAACTACAAAGGTTCATACTTCCTGAGTACAGGCTATCTCTTGATGGTACTTCGGATCACAGTAGCGACATACCAGCTTGACACGTTCGTGGACCACCAGGTGATTAACTTTTCGTCGCTAGAGCTAGATGAATTAGAGGATTTCATACAGAAGAAATTGCATACCGGAAGGTGTTTGTCCACTGGACCTGATGCAACCCATGAACTCAATGAGAGCAATGGAGAACAGCACGCAAGAGTAAAGGAGGCAAAAGCAATGTTCCTGTCCTTTATGAACTTTGTGCTCACCGATACCACCGACCCCGTGAGCACTTACAACAAGTGGAACCTGCGCAGTGAGCTGAGATCTGCCTTACTCGCCCAGATTGGCCATATTAGAAGTTCCAAGGGCCTAGTACATGAGGGAGTGGACCTCCTCCATGACCAAACCAGAAAGACAACCTTCTTTTCATGGCTACGAGGGCCTGCCTCAGACAATGTACTCTACCCTGTCATCCTCAAATATATGGTTTTCCACATGGCATTGAGTCAAGTGCAGCAAGATGATGATGTGTTCCGTACCCCAGAAGAACAATACATCGTTGGAGATTTCTGCAGGCATGCTGCTGCTGAGGTCCGGCTCTGGAATGACTATGGCAGCATTGAGAGAGATAAAGCTGAGGGGGTTTAAAATTCAATCGATGTTTTGAACTTATCATGTTCATGCTCTTCAGCTAACGGGATCACGGGCGACAAATCTGACAGACCTTGCAAGGTCGTATCTCTCAAGAAGATGGCACATTACGAAAACAGACAGGTTCGACTTTGTTTAGAGCAGCTGGAGACGCTGTTGCAAGAAAATGATGCATATCGAGCGTTTAGTATAATGTCACGGCTCCATATGCATGCGACGGTGACTCAAGTGTGGGCAGAGATGTACTCCCTACGCCAGTTCAGTGCGGCGAGTCCTCAGTCTTCATCCAAGAAAAGAGGGATTACTGGGAGTGCCACCCTACCCCCACTTCGGCCAGCCTCGGGTGGAGGTGGAAGCGCTTCGATTCTGACTATCAAGGCTTTATAGTAGATATAAATCTACGGCATGGAATACTGCAGCTAACAGCACGTGAAATTGATCATGATGGTAAAGTTATCATACTTTCTATTCTTCAACGAGCGGACCGTGAGCGTGAAACACCGGTTACCGCTGAATTAGACACAAGCACTCACTTAGAGCCGACCCGGTCGACCGCCAGGGATGCATTAGCATATGTAACTTGTTTTTTGTCTCATACCCCTCGGATAGTTACATTCCAATCTAGACACCATGTTTGACAGGGCACTCACACTGAAAGTCCAGGAAAATTGAGCTTGTCATCTTGCCATTCGCCAGCTAGGAACGAATGAGGAGAGTGAGCCAACAAACAACCATCTAGTCTTCTGTCTTCCTTAACGCCATCGGAAACATCCCTTCTAATAAGCCAGCACCGGACGACCAGGGTCAATCATCCAGCAAGTCTGAAGGCAGTTCGAAATAAGCTAGTGGGTCATCAAAGTCTGCTGGTTGGCCTGAGGTAGGTCTCATGTAGCCTTCGAAGTGTTGTGATTGATCAATTCCTGGCTGCTCAGAGCGCATATTGGCATGCCGAGTCGTATCCATGTATTCATCTATCCGCTTGACCCATGATTTGAGCCGTTCACTGGCGCCAGTGGAGCGGGTGAGTCCGGACTCCATTTGAGACAAAAGCGCTGCCATGTCTAATCTTCTTGTCGATCAGCACAGTTGTACATTAACCTGTCACACGATTCGATTAGGTGCTTACAGAAGTTTGCGAACTCTTTGGTAAGACATCTCGGAGAGGCTTCCTTCCATGACAGATCCAAGAATGAATCCAATCCCCCCCAAATGATAGAGCTTCAATAATTAGTGCACGTCTATCTACAGTGACGGGAGTGGAAAATTATGATAATATGTCATGGGACTAACGTACCAGTGGGGAACTGATTGCTTTGAGATATTCAATTGGCACTGTGCTAAAGACGCTGAGCACGTTCCCCGCAACCTCGCATTTCTCCTCCACACCTTGATCCTCACTCGAAAATAGGACCATGCTAAGAAGCTGGAGCGTTGCTTGGACGTTAGCAGATTGGAATCCAACAATATCATGCTCAGGGTCACCGGTAGCAGGCTTGGTTGATTGAAGCTGCGACGGTAACGCCGAGAACAGGGAATGTACATGCTCCATAAGCAAGGGGTCCGGGACAGGGGTCGGGCGAAACAGCGACCAGGGGCTCTCATTCGCGGTGCGCTGCATTTGCCGCTGGCCGTCAATAGCATGCTCCAGTATTCGATATAGATCAGTGGTAAAATTCCACCCACGCATCCAAACCGATGGTTCATGTGTGGTACAGTCCGCCGATATCGGTGCTTCTATCATGGAATCAAGCACATCGTCATTCACTTCTCTGGGGTAGCGTACATTTGACTGAACTTCTCTGAAACGAATTATGCCGCCCAATACGGTCGCCGAAAACACATCTAGCGTATACATCGACTAAAACTACATCCTGCATTAGTTTGTCACTGATAAAAGGAATCGCATAGGCACCGGGAGCGTACCAGCCTCCGTCGAACTTCCACGTCCACAACGCTCAAGTCTCTTGGCCACAACTTCTCATCATGTAACCCTTCCATGATACTTAATGTATGATACATCCCTAAATATTGATGCATATCGCGGATCTGACCATTCTGGATGGCGGCAATCCTGAGAATCGCACATGCTCTCATGTATTCGGTGCCTCTTGCTGCAGCCAGGTCCCGAGGGATAGACTCCTTAGCTAGACTCCTTAGCTGCAGTCCAGAAGACCTCCGGTGGCGGATGTGACAGCCGTGATCGTGATCGCTGATTCGAATATAAACCGCCATCCCTGGCGCGTGCAGAGGCTAAGACACACATTGCCATTGTTGAGGCGAACAACCCTTGGTCCTTAAGATGCTTTTCATCCCGGAGGACTCTCAAAAACGATGGTGGATGGAATAGAGGAAATCTGCGTGGTATAAGGCGGTTAGTCCAAGAACAAGTATCTTACAATCTACCCTCGCGAGACATGGAATTAGAGAAGTACATCGGATAAACAATCTCAAACTACACCTGGACGAGTTCCTGCACCACAGAATGACAGGCGATTGCAAGCGCCTTCCAGGGAGTCAACGGTGAGTCGGAGCTATAGTGCGGATCCGTGATTGCCCAAGAATTATTATCGAGAGGTGTCGATAATTGAGCAGTCACGCCAACTTGAAGATCATTTTCCGAATGGGCAGGTCGAGGGGAGATAGTAGTAGCGGCAACCTCGCCACCCGGTTGGCATGCAGGCTCCTGTTCCCCTTGGCGGGCTCCTCTACGACCACCCCTTTTCCGTAACGGCCGCTCGTATGTACAGGGGATATCAAAATCCACACAGTTTTGACAGGGTTCGAGTGGGCCTCGGGTCTTCGTGCATTTGATGCTACGTCGATGGCAAAGGTCACCTGGGTGCTATTAGAGCCGCGGCCTAAGGGGACAACGAGGGTGTAATATACAGGCCCTTGAAATACGCTGGACTTTTCGGGGACGCTGGGGCATTTGGACTACTTTCACACGTCAGAGACCGGGGGGAGGAGGTTGTCTCCTGGTCCGATGCGGTAGTAGTATGGATATATATCTACACCGTCGACCTTCAGACTTGCTGAATCCAGCCGAAAGTTGCCGAAGGCCGCAATGTGATTATGTCATGATGGTTCCGGGCGCTCCACACAATTAGAGTTTGAGCCAGCCAGAAGAGGATTCACATCCCCCTTTCTTGACCTACTAACCACTCTTTAAATTCATTCATACGAATGTCACTATGTACGTTCACAAAGGGTGTGCGCATAAATTTTATTCTAATGATCTTCTTTTGATATATCGTTACATGTATTACCATTTGTTGTTAAACACCTCCCCGTTCACATAGTTCACCAGCTCAGATACTGCAGGCAGGTGGTGCCTATCCCCTCCGAATTGCATACCTTGCTGCAACACCCTACAATAGTTCTTGCCTGGTGCTACCTTTCCCAAGACGTATGGCTGCCGAGTCTCAACCCGAATGGGCACGGGAATAGAACGGCCCACCACTGCTTCCATGCCCTGCCATGCGAAGGTGATAACTTCTTTGGCAGAAGCCGGGATACCTGCTTGGTCCAGCATCAGAATCTTCGTGCTAGGGTAATGTGCTTGTATGTATTGTGTGATGTTTGGATTATAAGCACCACCGCCGCACATGAAAATTTCGTCGATTGGGAGGTCCTTGGGGGCATAGCGGCGGTAGTGGTCGACGATGGCCTGAGCGGTGATCCGAGTGACGGTAGCAACGACATCATCTGGACTAAGACCTTTGGATTCCGCCTTGCGAATGAGATCAAAAGCTAAAGCATCTCGGAACACCTCGCGGCCCGTGGTTTTCGGTGGATCCAACTGGAAGTAGGGATGAGTTTGAAGAAACTCATCTACCAGATCCTGGTCCACCGTGCCGCGAGCGCCCATCTCGCCGTCCTTGTCATACTCCTGCTGGCCGTTGGTGTAGTGTCGGACAACGGCATCAATAAAGACGTTCCCTGGGCCTGTATCGAAATCGTAGCAGGCATCAGTGCCTCCGAAGGAATCGGGCGGGATAAAACAGACATTAGCAATCCCGCCAATGTTTTGGCAAGCGCGCAACTTTGTCGGATGGTGCAGGAGCAAGGCATCAAAGAAAGCAATCAGTGGTGCTCCCTGGCGACCCGCTGCTTGGTCGCTAACCCGGAAGTCGGTCACAGTTGTGATTCCCGTGCGAGAAGCAATAAATGAGCCCTCAGCCATGGTAAGAGCACTACGTACCTCTCCCTCCTCAGGCATAGACAGAAGCCAGATGGTTTGACCGTGGGAGCCAATAACGTCGATGGACGAGATATCAACATCATACTGTCCACAGAACTCCTTGACAGCCGCGGCAAATGTCTCACCGAGAATGACATTCACCTCGGATAGCTCGGACGGAGATGTTTTGTTGTGCAGGATGATATTCATGACTCGTTTCTTGATTGTTTGTTGTAGGGGAATTTCACCATACTATTGGAAAGACACGTCTGTGTTAGACTGAACGGGATTTGCGCAACATGTGACAATAGCATACCTTGAGAAGCTCAAACCTCATGGGTGAATCCGGCTTTTCCTGTCGAAAACGACAGAGAGCACAGTCGATCCCATCCTAGCGTTACATTGATAAGCTTTCAAGGTCCCCTAAATCCTCGCTTGTCCAGCTCGTCTGCTTACCATCGAAGTGCCACTATTGAGTCCCAGGACGGTTAGGTCCAGGGAGCGAGATACAGAAGCACTAGGGTCCATATTGAAAGGCAGAGAGAACTCGGAACAACTGGCTGTCCAATCGAGATAACGAGGAGGGGGGGATGTTGCGGGGAATAAATAACATGCGTCGCTGCCGTACTACTTCAATACCCCGGCCGCATTGGTGCCTGAATGCCTCATGGTACGGGAGACGACGGTTGTAGTTGTTGACCGCCTAATCGCCAGAACTATTAAATGGCTAAACGCTTAAATGCTTAAACGTTTAAACTGCTAAACGGCGCCACTCACAAACCCTGGCTCGAACGTGTGATACTCTTGCGGGGCCCCTCAAAAGGTTCTCTCCACAACAGTTTTGGTTGCCCCAAGGCTTCGGTTCTCGCTAGGTTATTTCGGGCGAATCCGGCATGTCATTTGTCAGGTTGGTGAAGCAAGGGATAAGCGTCTCAAGATTCAATCATGACATAGGCCGCGTTATAAATAGTCGAACCACTACCGGTTGTGCAACTGTTCGCGCTAAGGATTTGAAACTACAGCTGATAAACTCATAGTTTCATTCAGTGCGTTTCAGCAAGGCCGAGAATATGGGGTATGCAACCTTTTGGAGGCGGTTATCCCCACGCCAACTCAATGTTGGGATTCAGGCTCTTTCTCTCGTTTGCATATTCTTCGAGGGATATGATCAAGGTGTCATGGGAGGTGTCAACAGCTCTCCTAGATACGTTACAGAGGTTGGAATTGGCGAACCGGATGGCACAGTAACCGACACTACCCATCAGGGAGGCATCGTCAGCATCTACTACCTTGGATGCATTTTCGGTTGTTTCGGAGGTGGCTGGCTGGCTGATCGCTTAGGCCGTATCAATGGCCTGCTGGCCGGTTCGTTGCTTGCGCTTGTGGGAGGTGCTTTGCAAGCTGCGGCTCAGAGTTCAGATTTCATGCTCGTCGCCAGGGTGGTGACAGGCGTTGGCACTGGTGGTATGCCCACCTACCGTACTTAGACCTCCTGGGAGAAGCTGATCTGGCTAGCATTAACTGGCATAGCACCAGTACTGGTGTCAGAGACATCAACAGCTGATCACCGCGGTGCCTTCCTAGGATATGTTTTCATTGCAAACTGTAGGTGATGGACCGTCGATGAAACAGCCCCAGAATATATACTAACGGAATTATGTTGAAGATCTAGGAATATCCGTCGCGTACTGGCTGTCATTTGGTCTTGCTTTCATCAATAACGGCTATTCGGATATTCGCTGGCGCTTTTTATTGGCGTTTCAGTGCGTTCCAGCACTCATACTACTCTTGTTCATCAAGATGCTTCCGGATAGTCCGCGGTTCCTGGCATCTGTCGGTCGTTATGACGAAGCTCAGCAGGTCCTTAACAAGATTTGTTGTCATAAATGCAGCCAATCAGAAATTGACCTTGAATACAAAGAAATAATTGCGACAGTGCAAGGGGGCAAACCAAGCTCGCCCCTTCAGTTCGCAAAAATATTGATTGGAAAAGGAGGAAACCCCGGCTCCAATCTGGGACGACGAGCCTGGCTGTGTATATGGCTCCAGATCATGGCATCTTGGACTGGAATTACGGTAAGCTATTCAACGTATGAAATCGCAGAGATAGGCTGGCTGATACACTGTCATGTCAACAGGCTGTTACGGCATACTCTCCTGTTCTGCTTGGGCAAGCGGGTTACACCGAGCTGACCCAAAACGGCCTTGCCGGAGGATTGAATACGATCGGTATTCTAGGTACGATAATCAGTACGCAGATCGTAGATCGGATCGGAAGGCGAAAATGTCTAATGCTTGGGTCTCTTGTCTTATTCGTCGTTGAGCTGGTGGTAAGTGCCAAACCCTCGCATAACTTGTTTGACTCTGATTCTAAGATGTTTCCTCTCCAGGCCGGATCTGTTTATGAGGCGTCCCTTCATCAGCCAGATAAAGCCAGCCAATTTGCACCTGCTGCTGTTGCGATGCTGTTCTTGTTCAACTTGGGATATGCCGCGACCTGGGGAACCGTCGCTTTCTTGATACCAACCGAGATATTTCCCTCCGATCTCCGGGCTCAAGGTAATGGCTTTGGTATTACCGGCTGGGCTATTGGTGTTGGAATGACCACACTGGTAAATCCGATTATGTTTGCAAGTATCGGGAGTCGCAGCTACTTCCTTCTTGCTGGATTGAACCTTTTGTGGGTCCCGACTATTTTCCTGTTCTACCCAGAAACCCGCAATCGGTCTCTAGAGTCCATCGACTTCCTGTTCTCGACCTCAAGTCCATTTTATTGGGATATGGAGAGGGCATTTCAGTTGTGTATGGATAGGAAGGTAGAGAAGCATGTCGATGAGCAGGCCATAAAGGTTGCGGGCCAGGATGAAGCCCAGCAGGAATTTCACGAAACCATCCAGCAGAGAGTATAAAGTAAGGGGACCTGGTGACGTGTGAAACACTTGCCAGATGTTGTACTCAGGAGATCTTCCTTCACAGCAGCTCAGCGGTATAAAGATTATCCATGGAGAATTAAAAAACATTCAATTAACCGGATTCCGCGACCCGTACATAGCGCCGTGGCTAGAGATAGATGACCCTCGAGAGGTATTCGAGACGCAGGAATGACTGCTTTGCTTCATGCTGTGCAATGACATGAGCCTTTCAACAGGTAATATCTGGGGCGGCTTGCAGATTTTTACAATTCCATTGATATTATAACTGTGGAAAGAATAGTGTGGCGCTTACGCAGTATTTAAGGAATGTTCTAACGTTACGAATTTGGAGTCCAATTCAGTCCTCTCCGGCTATGAGCAACTGTCCGATACTTGGTGCTGAGGGTGATGTTGAGCGTCATACTCAAAGTCATCAGTAAATGGTGACTGCCGTATCGTGGACAGTGATGTCCTTGCTGTAGAGATTTAGAGGCCTGACTGTAAGCTCTTATCCAACGGATAATCTAAAATTCAGATTCTAACATGAAGGTTAATATTGACCACCCCATTTTATATGCGGACAACACATTTAATTACCCAGTATTCAAGACTCGAATTTTATAATGGTGAATTCATGAGGAGACAGGAGACAATGCACATGAGGAAGGCTCTAATAGCTCTTTGTGTTTCTCAAGGGAGCTTTATTCTTGCCTCACAATGTTATGAGGGTGATCCGCAGCAAGTTACAAGCAATGATAAGTATCAAGATAGTGATAGCACCGGACAGTCCTATCGCTCTTTATTATTTATGTATTTATCCTATATCTTGCGTTTTCTAGTTGGGGACCAACTGTATCCAAGCCCATGAAGAACAGCCCTTTTCTCTCTCTGTTTACTCATAATGAGTCATGCATTTGTTGCACTTCAACTTCGTGCTAGTAGCTTTTATCTACTGCCTCGCAGGGTACTAGCTGTGGGACTGTTGCGTTATGGATTAAAAGCGCTGGAGGAAGAGCATGTCTAGTGTGTCATAGTATTCTCTTTAGTGGACGAGAGGATTACTTTTGATTGGTTCCGTTTCAGTGCCCTTTCTGATCTGGATACCTGTGCCCGCGGCTTGCGGACCAATAACACACATGCGAAAGTTACCACCACACATCTGCGCTTGACACCTCAGCTTAAGCAGCCTCAGAATTAATGTGCATGGAACTGCCAGTGACGCGGATTACATGTGGCTCTAGCAACATGCTGCTCTCATGCAACAAAGCAGGAGTCCTCGTCCGCCTGCGATGTTGGAGCTATGGAGGGGCGCTGTACGAGAGCACAGGGATCAGGGTCGTGGATAAGTGTCTCTAAGAAGGGTCTGTTGCTGTTGGGTCAATTTGTGACTTCGTGATCATATTCCAATCATCGCAAATGATTTTGAAGAGGGGTAAAATATTGTAGTGTATAGGTCAAAGGGAAATATGAATGCCACCAGGAGCTCATAATCGTTGTATATTGTATAATAGGCAAATACAAGTATCGTCAGAAACTCCAGGAGAAGAAGCATTGTGAATCGATGTGAGGCATTTATGCGCGGCAAGTCTATAATCCCAGGCAACTTGGACTGAATCCAGGACTCTGTCGGGTCTTGGCTGCAGGCTTGCGAAAGAGGTAATTGCTGGAGACTATTGCGCCATAACACTACCATCCCATCCTCTTTCGTCCATGATAACGATTGAAAACTGATTACTCAGCCAGCAACCCGGCAGCTGTTTATACCTTGTGGGTCATACTAACTCGATCACTGGCGGGAGATAACAGTTAGCGCAGAATATACCTGCTAAGAAGTGAGGTGATCATAGCGGCAGATGGGATCATACTTGCGTGCTAGTATTTCAATGCGAATATTTAGATGCCAATATGCCTCGTACTTACAACATAGAAGAAAGTGCATCCACGATGACAAGGGATACTGAGGCCAACTCCTCGCAAGAGCATGATATAGTCAGGCCTCTCAAGTCATGGAAAGGCTACATTTGGGACACATGGGAACTACCCAGCGACCAGCGTTGGCTATTGTTTAAGCTTGACGCGTTCGTGCTAACATTTGCATCTGTGTGCCAACATCTCACCTTACCCCAGGGGTGTAAATATATTTGGCTGACAACTACAGATTGGTTATTTTCTCAAAAACCTGGACCTTCAAAATGTCACAAATGCATACCTTAGTGGCATGGAGGAGGATCTGGAGATGTTTGGCAACCAACTGGTGACAAGTACCTCTATTTTCACAGTCGGCTATGTTATTGGTCAGATCCCCGCGAACTTACTGTTGACTCGCATTTCGCCTCGCTGGGTGATTCCGTCGGTAAGTAGTCCATCCCCGTGTAAATTTCGATCGCAGCCTTCAGTGGATACTAATAGTTGCGCAGCTCGAGATTGGTTGGGGAATTGCAACTATGTGCATGTCAAGTGTAAAGTCATACAAAGCTCTCTATGCGCTTCGATTTCTGGTAGGCCTTTTTGAGTACGTTGGACACTTCTCATATTATCCTTCTACTCGCAGCAGTCTAATCTCGGAAATAGATCTGGGTTCTACCCCGGCATCCATTACCTTCTCGGCTCATGGTACACACCACAAGAGATTGGCAAGCGCGCAATGATATTCTGGCTTGCCGGCCATATTGGGACTTTATTCAGTGGTTTTCTTCAAGCAGCTGCTTACACGAACTTGAACGGTGTGGATGGCCGGGCTGGCTGGCGATGGCTGTTCATCATTGATGGCATCATCACGCTACCGCTCGCCCTGACCGGCTATCTCTTCTTCCCTAATCTTCCACAAAGTGGCAAGAAAACTTGGTGGATAACTAACGAGGAACATACCCTCTCTGTCAATCGAATGCAGGCGATTGGGCGTGCTGGAAAGGAGCCTTGGAGTATGGCTAAGTTGAAAAGAATCTTGTACAGCTGGCACACATATCTACTCCGTACGTGATCCCCTGTCACGGTCGACTTTGGTATTTTCTCTAATCAACCGACCCAGCCATGATATACATTCTGTGGAACAATGGATACCCACAGGTTGGTATGGGTTACTGGCTGAAAAGCTTCAATGCAGACCCTCCTCCTGTCCCGGGCAAGTCATACACGGTGGCTGACATTAACAACTGTGAGTCTATTCAAAGCGATATGCCAAGCGAATCTAATGACATCAAGTACCATTGGTCACGACTGGTATCTCTATCTTCGTGTGCTTTATTTGGGGTTTGCTCTCTGATGGTCCCTGTCGGGGATCACGCTGGCCCTTTATCCATATCGGTGCCGTTATCACGGTATGTACTTTCGACCCGTATGCCCAGGTTGATTCGGCGGTAACATTTGTCAAGCTCGTTATGTGTGTTCTACTGCGCCAGATGCCTCTCTATACCAACATCCCTGGGCGCATGGCCGTATATTGGCTCAGTAATATCGGAGTATGTCAAAGTCCTAACACGTCAGACGTAATCTTCAGCTAACTCTTAGTCTCAGGTTGGTGCTGGTCCACTTATCCTGAGCTGGATTAACGAAATCTGCTCAGCTGACACGGAGAAAAGAGCTTTGATTGTCGCCATGGCTAATGATCTTGCCTATGTTGTTCAGGCAGTGGTAAGCCTCCTTCCACCCGACAATCATATCTACGAAAGCTTCTCACGTTTTATTCTGCACAGGCACCAAACTTTGTGTGGAAAACCACGGATTTTCCAGCAGCCAAGAAAGGCTATCTTTGGTCCATCATATTGCAGATCTTACTCAGTGAGTGTGGTGCATTGCAGTATTGTTTGAAAATAGTGGAAGATGGCAACTAACTCAACTCTCCAGTGGTCGTTACTGCCACAGTTCAATTCCTGCTTTGGTGGGATAGGAAGAGGGAAACTCAAAGCCACGAGGCGGTAGAGCCGATTGCGGATTCTGATGCCGACTCAGGTCCAGCAAGCTCTAAATATGGCTCAGTGGATGCGAAGAAAACTCCCCAAACTCAAATCACACACGTAAGCTCGATGTAGTGAAATTTAGAGGACATATAACCACCAGAAATTCTGTTGAGACGTGTTTTTTCACAGCAAAAACCTATACAAACTAAAGAAGAGATACTTATTATTTCAAAAATATTCTTAGTATATTTCATTAGAAGTTCAGTTTATTCTTGCCACAGCTGAACATGATTAAAATGGAAAGGAATTGTTCTGTGTTTAGTGCTAGACCACACCGAATTTATTTCAGACCACGCTGAGCTGTAAGACCGCCTTGCTGTCTTGGGAAAGGTCATCATCCATCAGGCGATGAATTCATCCCGGTCGGTGTCCAGTCCCAGGCGGTGAACTTACAGTAGCAAGCTGTAAACTTACCTCAGGGACACTGTCAGAAGCAGATAATCTCATTATTGATGAGACTTTCACGCTCTCCTGAGCGATGAAAGGAGTAACTTTTTTTTCGAAGAACAGCTCCACATCTTAGTTACTGATACCTCATCATAAGTCGCCAGGAAACGCCAGTAACGTCTGCAGTCCTGTACTATCTACCAGGAAGGCCAGGTCACTGGTGGATATACAAGTTGGGTAAAGTTTGCCAAGGGTTTAGCCCCAATCTTGTATATGCTTGGCTAGGCAGGACCTGGGTAAATTGATGGCTCCTGCATTTCGACCTGAGTATTTCCAGCTATAAGCGAGATTTGCCATACTCTTCAGCCAGTCCGGATGGTCCGCGCCGAGGTTCGCCCTGCCTTCATCACCTACACAAAGAACTCCTCGGCCAACTCCCGGTGGCCTTTGAGCTCCAAAGTACCTTCGCGACCTTTGGCCAGTGTTTCTCGCAGCGTTAACTGAGCCTAAGGCTTGCTAAAAGAAATAAAGAAACATAACCCTGCACTACATACGTCTTGTATGAGCGAGGAACTGTGTTCATTCAGTAGATCAGTGGGTACATAATCATGAACATGACTTCTGAGTAAGAAAACCTTGTGCAGGGAACCGGTGAAGAATTCCCACTTCCCCGCCTCCACTAACTGCAGCCTTTTTATCCGCCTTCCGTCCATTTAGCCAGATGTAGTCCATTTAGCCAAGTGCGGTCGATTTAGCCAAGTCCAGTGGCTAGATTGGTGGCTACACAGGAAACGCATGACTGTAGACACAACTATAGAACTGTCTCTGGAAATAGGCTCGAGCTTGTTCAAGCGTTTAAGGTGATGCGGCAAAATGCATATGACTGAGCTGCTTCATCGTGCAGGGGGAAGGGATAAATAGTCTTTTTCGCAGAATATAAATGGAAGTAGAGCGGGATCGCAGAAATATTGAACAGCACAGGGCTTCTCTTCCAGTTGCATACATCCATTCACCAGCATTCAGCTTTCTACAATCATCATGAAGGTCACTGCGGCTTTTGCAGGTCTTTTGGTCACGGCATTCGCCGCTCCTGTCTCGGAACCTGCTTTGGTGTCGCGAAGTGCTGGTATCAACTACGTGCAAAACTACAACAGCAACCTTGGTGATTTCACCTACGACGAGAGTGCCGGAACATTTTCCATGTACTGGGAAGATGGAGTGAGCTCCGACTTTGTCGTTGGTCTGGGCTGGACCACTGGTTCTTCTAAGTGAGTGACTGTATTCTTTAACCAAAGCCTAAAATCTAACGTTTTTCAGCGCTATCACCTACTCTGCCGAATACAGCGCTCCTAGCTCCTCTTCCTACCTCGCTGTGTACGGCTGGGTCAACTATCCTCAGGCTGAATACTACATCGTTGAGGATTACGGTGATTACAACCCTTGCAGCTCGGCCACAAGCCTTGGTACTGTGTACTCTGATGGAAGCACCTACCAAGTCTGCACCGACACTCGAACAAACGAACCGTCCATCACGGGAACAAGCACGTTCACGCAGTACTTCTCCGTTCGAGAGAGCACGCGCACATCTGGAACGGTGACTGTTGCCAACCATTTCAACTTCTGGGCGCAGCATGGGTTCGGCAATAGCGACTTCAATTATCAGGTCGTGGCGGTGGAAGCATGGAACGGTGCTGGCAGCGCCAGTGTCACGATCTCTTCTTGAGAGATAAGGGCCTTAGTAGTCGGGAGATATCAACGCGGAGATTTGTTCTCAGGTAGTGTGATGATCGGAACCGGGCTCTGGTGGTTACATCGAGGCTGTCTAAGTTGTTGTGGGGCCGAGCTGCCAGTGGCTGCGTTTTCAACTTGCACAGATAATCAACTCTCGTTTACTATCTCTTGCTTTTCCTTGCTGTTTCTCTTGTCCATCGATAATATATCGTCAAATACATATTATCTACACCAGAGGGGTAATGACATTGCAGTGCAATGCTATTAGGATGCGGGAACCCTAAATATTTTAATCTACTCTGATTAGTCAGATTTCTGATAAAGGGGGGTGCAATGCTCTTATATTCCTGACTGTAATATTATTATATTTTAGAAAGATTTTCTGTTAAAATTCTAATATATTTGAACTGTGCCATTTATTTAATATTTTTTTAATTCTCAGCAGTATTGCTATACTGGTAAAGTAGATAATTATATTTAAATTTAGTAAGTTAGTAAAGAGAAATATTTTTATTAGAGTGATTTCTAGGAGCCCTTCCTGACCAGAGCCAGAATCAAGGCTTAGCTCTATACTAGAGGGGTAATGACATTGCAGTGCAATACTATTAGAATACAGGAACCCCAAATATTTTAATCCACTTTGATTAGTCAGATTTCTGGACAAGAAGAATATAATATTATTATATTCCTGACTACAATACTATTATATTTTAGAAAGATCTTCTATTAAAATTCTAATATATTTAAACTGTGCCATTTATTTAGTATTCTTTTAATTTTTAGCAGTATTGCTATACTGGTAAAATAGATAACTATATTTAAATCTAATAAATTAACAGAGAAATATTTTTTATTAAAGTAATATTTTTCTATTACCTGTCTGCATAAATCATTAGTAAGCTTGATCAAGATATATATATATATATATATAATATAATTACTCTCTGCAGCCCAATTCTTTCTTTTAATCTTATTTTTATCTTGTAGTAATCCCACTTATTCTATATTTTTTTTTCTACTTGATTTAGCTACTCTAAATACATGATGAAGTCTAGTAATATTAAAGCTGAATATCTTTTTTATATATATCATTTCCTGTATCTTCTTATATACCGTGACTGTTAATATAAAGTATAGCTAAATAAAATTTATAGATATCTTAATATTAAATATATAAAGTAATTTATATCTAGTAAATAGTAGTCAATAATATTCTTTATCCAGAAATAGAATAGTATTATATTTACCAGTACTGAATTTATTCTTTCTTATACTCTTTCTAAACCTGTTCTTATTATTCTAGAATTTATAAATAATCTATAATATTATCATAATAGCCAGTCCTGTCTGTATATTATATATAACATGTGTATTATATATAATTACTAATATTAAATCTATAGATAATCTTAATATAAGTATACTGGTAAATTAATATTATCTAATATACAGACTGCTGTGATTAAAGTACAGGTAAAGATTTATTATATTATCTATTAATAAGTATTTTCTATATATAAAAACTTCTATTATATTTATATTCTTAACCCGCGTAAAATATTATCTAAGAAAATATTTCTATTATTAACTAGTATACAGCAGACTGTGGAGCATATCTTTCAGGTATGGAAAATATATAAAAATATATAAGTTTTAAGTATTATTATACCAGATACAGCAGCTGATGCTAATTTATAACTATAATTTATATAATAAACAATCTATTTATAAGAAATCCAGCCTAATAATATTCTCTATAGTATCAGTTTTCTTGATATATATAGCCTAGTGAATCCTATATACTACTTCTTCTTACCAGTAGATTATAACTTAGAGTCTGAAATATCTACTAAAGATCTTTTTTGACTGGAGCCTAACCACCCGGACTGGCTCTAATTAAAGAGGACTTCTGATACTGATTCCAGTATGGAAATAGTTATATTAGTTCTTTAGTATATTCTTGACTAGCTAGTACAGAAGAGTCAACAGACTGTCCAATACTATAGATCTACCATCCGGCTGGAGGCTGTGCAGACACAAGCTAATAAACTACTGCATTGTGCGCTATACCAGAGGGGTAATGACATTGCAGTGCAATGCTATTAGGGTGCGGGAACCCCAAATACTTTAATCTACTCTGATTAGTCAGATTTCTGGTAAAGAGAGATGCAATGCTATTATATTCCTAACTATAATATTATTATATTTTAAAAAGATTTTCTGTTAAAATTCTAATATGTTTGAACTGTGCTATTTATTTAGTATTCTTCTAATTTTCAGTAGTATTACTATACTGGTAGAGTAGATAATTATATTTAAATTTAATAAGTTAACAGAGAGAAATATTTTTATTAGAATAATCTATACCAGAGGGGTAATGACATTGCAGTGCAATGCTATTAGGGTGCGGGAATCCCAAATACTTTAATCCACTCTGATTAGTCAGATTTCTGGC